GCCCCCGCGCACCGGGATTAAGGACGGATGGGGGGGTGAGGGATGGATGCGGGATGAGGGTTGGATGCAGGATGAGGGATGCATGCGGGATGCGGCCGCTCCGTGGCTGCGGAAGGGTTCTCCCGCATGGAGAGCTTTCTCCGCTTCAGTCCTTACCGCCGTCATTTCGGACCCGCGATGGATTTAAAAAATATAAAGTAAAAATGGAAATAAAAAGGCGAAAGTAAACAAAAGGCGGCACAAAGCCCCTTCCAAAGGGGAGCGGAGCGCTGGGTGCAATCAGAGAGTGGCGGGTGCGGGGCTTTCACATTCACTTATCCGCCGCGTAATTACGATTTTCCCTGCATTAGGATTAAGGGCTGCCCGTAATGTGCTTTCAACATTTATCTTATTAATTCCACAAACCCAGCGGCTCCTCAACGGGGATTGCTATAACATTGCCGATACGCGGCAATTTACAGATGTTTCGGAGGTGCGCGGTTTTTGCGTTACATATTTTTCTTCTCTTTTTTTTATTCTTTCCCTTTCTGATCTTCAGCCCCCGCTGCTTGGCACGCAGCGCCCGACCCGCTGCCATGCACCGGGGAGCAGAGAACTGAATCATCCTTTTTCTTTGCCACAGTTTGAAGGGGCACCGCAGAAGTAGTAGTGCCCGAACCGCTGCAGCATTGCCACGGCGGCCACCAGCACCGGGCTCGGAACAGAACTGCGCGGAATTTTGAGGTGTTTTGGGGCATTTCGAGGCATCTTCGCTCCCCCCCTTATCCCTCCCCACTGCTTTTAGGTTCGCGTTTTCCTGTGTGCTGAGGAAGGTATCTTTGGGAATACTTCATCATAGCGTCTTCCGAGAGCCTCATGCATTATCCAAGGGAAAATTTCTGCGTGCAGAACCGCGGCCCCGACGGGGCGGCCCGACCCACCCTCCGAACGGTGGTGAGGCCAAAAGCAAAGAATGGAACAAGCTCTGAGCTCCGCGGTCCTGTTCCCTGACCCGGAGCTGCCACCTCACCTTGGCACCCCCGGAATCATTGACAAATATTCACATCTGCGCTCAGCACCGCAGTTTTTTCTCTTCTGTGAGCACTGAGCTGAAGGATGAAGGGTGCACGCAGTCCCTCCCTAGCCCTCACCATTCTACAGCTCAGCTCCCTGCCCTCTATTCACTGCTACCTGGTTTTGGCTTCCCATAAGTGCACAACGCAAAGAGATGGGGCCCAGGGCCGCACCCCATTTTCACTGCAACGTATCACCCCAGCACCCAGAGGCTCCCCTTCTCCTCTGGGGGTGAAGACAGAGGGGCAGACAGAGGATTGGACAGAGTGGTGTGGAGGATTCCAGCAGGGATGGAGCCCACAACTCCCCAAGATTGATTTCCCTCCGTCATAAATCTCAGCCCGCTGTCCCCCTGCCCACCCAAGCATGATGAAGCCCTTTTCCATCGAGTATTCAGCACCGGAGCAGCACAGCCCGCCCGGCCCGCAGCCATCTGCTGCTCCGGGAGCGGAGAACAGCGGCCACAGAGAAAGGGCCGCGCTGTCCGGACCGCTCCGGGACAAACGGCAGCGCTGAATAGCGGCCGCAGCCTCTGCTTCGCTCCGTGCCTATGGAGACGGAGGAAGAAAAGGAGCATTATAGCGATGCGACAATTGTAACACGAGCAAAAGAAGAGGCACCCAAAGGGCAGCGCTGCGGCGGCGGAGGGCCCCGGGTGGAAGGGTACTGCCGGGTTTATAGAGACTTTCACTGCTTTTCGATCGGGAGCCAAAGAGTCCGGGGACAACCCCCGAGCAGCGGTCGCGGCATGCAGGTGACGACTTTTCGGGCTTTGTGGCGTTTCTCCCCAATTCCTCCCCCCCC